CTAACACGACTTTCTTTTATATAATAGATAAGATTACAAAATAGATTATAATTTACTTCTACATATTTATCGATAATAGGAAACCGCATTAGAACACGAGCACGGCACTATGCATAGCTGGGCACCGTTAATCAAATAGTTAACTTCGTTAATCGTTAAACCGTTAATAAAAAAATTAACTTCGTTAAACGTTAAAACGTTACATTTCGCAAGAGTTAACGCAAGTTAACGTTAATCGTTAATCCGTTAACACATGATAATAAAACGAAAAAAATAATATGTTCAAATAATTTCGAAAACTTGTATCGCGCATGGAATTTATTCCTCTTTTATGTTTGCGCTACAAACTTTCGAAATTATTTGAACCTTGCATAAATACAATTTTTTTTTCGTTTTAGTACAACTGCATTTCAGTATAAAAGCTTGTTAGGGTTCCGTAGCCAAATGGCAAAAAACGGAACCCTTATAGATTCGTCATGTCTGTCTGTCCGTGTATCCGTCCGTATGTCACAGCCATTTTTTTCCGATAACTAAGAGCTATACTGTTGGTAGGTAGATGTATTCTGTGAACCGCAGAATATTTTGATGCAAAAATAAAAAAATAATAAATATTGGGGGCTTCCCATACTTAGAACTGAAACTCAAAAATTTTTTTTTCATCACAATACGTGTGGGGTATCTCTGGATAGGTCTTCAATAATGATATCGAGGTTTCTAAAATATTTTTTTTCTAAACCGAATAGTTTGCGTGACAGACGCTTCCAAAGTGAAAAAAAATTTGGTCCCCGTTCATCATCAGGACCCTGGACATCATCTAGCACTAAAGTGCTCGAAAAGAAAAGTCCAACGAACCCAAACTAGATGCAATTCCGCCGTTCCGTTAAGAGTTCCTATGGCCACCTCCAGACTCCATCCAGCTCAATGGTACCATAATATTGCATTGTCATCGTACTTACACAAGTATACCAAATTTCAGTTCAATTGGTTAAGGAGAACTGGTTTTAAATTCAGTTGCAAGATTTATCCCATACTAACTAACAAGCGAAGTGCTTGTAAAAATGGTACGGATTTCTTTTTTGCGACTAGGTTTCCTAGAGTATTATACCATTTTGGAATCTTAGATAGTTGCGTCAACTTTATAAAAAACTTGCCGCAGTAGTGTTCATACTTTTTTTTTACAAAACGATGAGTCAAAGTGGAGTGAAAGTAAAAATCGTTGAAAATTTTAAGGAAATAACATATTTTGATTAACTTTTGTGTAAAAACTGCAAGAATTCTGGGGGTTTTAAGAGTTGGGGTGAACAGCAGCACTACTTAAGTTGCCGATATAAACAGAAAAACAGGAATACTTGAAAAATTGTGGTCGTGGTAATGTAAAATATCATAAGGGGTGTCAATTTTCGTCGAATTTCATATTTTTTTGTGTAAGTTAAAAAATAATTGAGATAGTTTTTTTTCCTTATTTTTTCTAAAGTAGTCATGACTATGTCCATCCTGTGGCGTCGGCTTATCCTTGAATTTTGGGACACGTTGTATGTATAAAAACTACCAACGAAAATTGTTGAACGAGATCTAGTAAGTAGTTTTTTTTAATACCTCGTAAATCTTAAACCGCTTATTACCGCGTAATCTTTCATATAAATAACTTAAATTAAAAAAAAAAAAATTAATTTCATAAATGAATGGTACGGAACCCTTTGTGCGTGAGTCCGACGCGCACATGACCGGTTTTTTTTTAAAGATTTTTAATTATTATAATTTCAGAGCCTTGGTTCAATTACAATGCAATTTAGCACCAAAGTGCTCGAAAAGACAAATCCAGCAAACGCAAACTCGATAAGTTTCCACCGTTTCGTTTTGGAATTCCTATGGCCACCTCCTGACTCCATCATCAGGACCCTGGACATCATCAAGTACTAAAGTGCTCGAAAAGACAAATCCAACGAACCCAAATTCGATGGGATGCCGCCGTTTCATTTAGGAGTTCCTTAGGCCACCTCATGACTCCATCATCAGACCAGCTCAATGGTACCTGAACTTTGCATCGTCATCGTACTTACATAAGTATACCAAATTTCAGCTCAATCGGTTAAGGAAAACTGGTCTTAAATTCATTTGCAAGTTTTGTCCCACACATTTCATGTATACTAACAAGTGTCGTTGGTGATCAGAGGTGGAATTGTGTAAAGCAATCGTTATCATTTGACAGTTCATAACGTACGATTATTCTGTCAAACGCTTTGTTTCACTGACTTTATCGTACGTTATGAACTGTCAAATGATTACGATTGCTTTACACAATTCCACCTCTGGTTACAAAAACTGTTGTTTTGGGTTCTGGAAGTTCTGGAAGCCCGAACGTACTTGTCAGAACGCGTTTTTCAGCGTGTCTGCTGTATCTTTTTGGTAAATAGTAGGTACTGGATTAACGATTAACGGACTTAGGATAATTTAACGGAAGTTAACGAGTCCGTTAACATTTTTTCAAGTTAACTTAAAAGTTAATTCGTTAATAGAAATGTTAACTTCGTTAATTAACGATTAACGGATTAACGAGTTAATGCCCAGCTATGGCACTATGTTACGACCGGCACATGCGGCCGTACTGTGTATTTTCACACGACAGTGGATATCGGAAGAAATTAAATACATTGCGCAGTAGTTGAGCATGACATAAAGTGGTTTCTAACTAAATCGTCAATGTACAAGCGTGTTAGAATTTTTATCACCACCTGATTTCGATATCGCAGTAACTGTTACGGCACTGAATTCGTTCGTAAAAATGTTTAGTTTNTTATTGATTTCCTGGACTGGACTTGGTATTACATGGATCTCACAACTTTTTACCGTAGAACAACTGAGTAGTGAGACTTGGTTTTTTGACAAGTATTGTTTTTGATGGGTTTGTATTATAGAACACATGTGTACCTAATGGGATAACTGTTTAAAAACACGATTAGATAAATTTTGCTCTATGGATAAAAATCTTAAAGTTACCTCTGACTTTTCAGCATTATACGACCGTGGTTTATAATAATAAATTCTATAAAATCACAATGATATCAGTATTTACCTCTTTGATTTCCTGACTTGTTTAGATTTACAAAAACTAAATATTTATTATTAACTTTTAGATAATCATTTGAATGGTGCTTACGATGTTTAGTTACGAGCTCTTTGATGGACACAGATATTATAGATAACGTTTAAAAAATGGCACGCTCGTTTTCATACATTTCATTCTATTTATTTAACCTATCCATATTTATGTGCGAAAACGTCACACAAATCAGAATAAATTTTAATTTTTCCATCCCGCATCATAAAAACTAAAAAGTCAAAAGTAAAATTTAAACAGTAAATATTTTTCATAAACAAGCTTTTGATGCTGTAAAAAGAATAAAATAAAACATATTAAACATTTAAATAAACATTTAAAGATTAAAAACTTGTCGCGGGATTTACTAGTGTAAAAAATATAGCCTGACCAGGAACATAAAAACCCTGGCATAGAGGCGCGTCAATTGCATTTGATAGTGCAACACCTCAGATCATAGTCTATGATCTGAGTGCAACACTGAGTACAGTCGTACCTGTGTTAAATTATAATACGCTTACTTTATGTATCAGGATTCAGGACTACGGGCTAATTTGATATTTTCATAAATTAACGAAAAAATATTATTATAGGTAACCTAGTTTAAATAAATAACTAAATGAAACCATCAATCGAGCTAGTAGGATTTATTTTATTGTTCATCAATAATCAAATTCAGAACTTGAATATTCAACTGCAATGTCTGCTCATGAACGCTTCAAACTCGGTACTTCTTTCCCAATTCTAAAAAATTCAACGCTTAGAAAGTGACAAAAAAATTTAAAATAGGNTACTGCGTGGATAGAAAATATTTTTTTCTAGCCAAACTATCAGTTTTAGAGAAAAACTTGTAATGACATTTATTCATCAGAATAAAGTAACCTATCGATAGGTAATTTTTTTAATTAGAAATTGTGAAAAATATCGCAAAAAATCCATACGCTCATACGATTCAATGGAACGCGGAGACGCGATCGGGGTCTCCACGGTGGTATATTTGGCGATTTATTCAAATAAAGTGTTCATAAGTATTGTTAGAGTCATATCTTCTTCCAAGTAAAATATAAAAATGTATAAGTATTAATTTATTTACTTCTAACAATAAGGTTTAGCTGAGGCATATACACTCTGCCTAGGCTACAAGACATTGCTATGAAGATCATTTCGATGTACACGCAATACCTACCTGTTATTTAGTTTTTCTGAGTTAAACCTACGTACCTACCTATCTATTCGCCGTTCCCATGGGCGGGCCAGCTGCTGCAGGAAAGGACAGCTGCTCCCTCCTGGAAATCTATTTATATTAANTTGACTTTTAGCGGCAAAAACGGCCTATGTTTATTACTTAATATCTTCGTAAGTAATGGTCCGATTTGGATAATTCAAAAAGATATATCTTTCTTATGTCTTAAAGATTAACGTAGATACTAGTTTTATTGAATTTTCTACAACAGTACTGATCCTCATTGACCATAAAAGTCCCCACAAGCCTTCATAAGCTCCTATGTGTAGTACCTAAAGGTATTTTGGTATGTACGTATTTCGGTACGGTGTCTAGGCCCATTAGATACTAGTAATTTACTTAATCACATTGGTAAAAAGATTATTTTCTTATCAATAGTCCCATCAAACCAACGTTTCAGAAAATTTGACCATTATTTAGACTATTACTTTAAAGGGTTGAAATTAGTGAAATAATTGCTGAGCAATTAAATGAAAACTCAATAATTCAACTGAAATAATAGAGTACCAGAAATTACAAACTATTCTCCAGCGTTTTCAGTATCAGGAACTTGCTATTTACGAGACACACAGTCACTTCGATACCGTTCAGCAGGGTCTCTCATCCATATAAGTACATTGAAGTGGACATTATATTAGCTAAATTGTATTTAATCTAACAATGAACACAAGAGTCAGAGAATATGTACCCAAAAATTACATAAGTTCAGGTCTATACAAGTCATTCGCGTCGTTCTGCTTTCTACAAATGATAATGGGCTCGTGTCGAGTGGACACGAGAAATAGATATGTGACCCATCCGTCGTCATACCAAAAAGCATTCTCTATATTAATTATAATCTCAACTGGATGCATGTACGCCATTGGTCAAGTTAATTACATAACTCGATACAGAGATGAATACACCCTGTATCTCCTTGGCTCAACACTTTTGATATCACATTACACGTGCTACGTTATAAATATATTGCAACTAAGATTCTTTAACAACGATACAAACGTCAAATTCGTCATCAAAATGCAAGAAATCGACCGTTTAATGAAAATAGATCGAAATAAACGTTTCAATGACATTTTACGCAAATTGAACAATGCTGCGATATTGTTCCTGTTGTTTGCGTTTTCTTTATACGTAGGAAGCGCCGCTTACGGTGCCAGTTCGGGAACGGCAGTGGTTTTGACAGCCGCGAGTGGTATTGGTGAAAGTATAATGTTAGCAGATCTGGTACTATGTTCGAATATAATCCAATACTTTATTATGCGAATTCGTTTTGTGAATTCAATTATCGCCAACCACTTGAAGGAACACTGTGCATTAGAGACACAATTTGGCAACTGTTTTAAATCCAACAGTTTTATGAGAAAACTGGCAGCAAAAACACACGAGTTTAGATCGTGTAACACGGACGTGTACATAAAAGAAATTATGAAAGGATTTTACCAATTTAACAATCTTTACCAGTCCCAGGTTATTTAATTTTCTATTATTCTACTCATTATTCTTGTTTTAGTTAGATTAATTTGTGTAATGATACGCGCGGTTATTTTATTATAAGTTACCTAGTATGGTTTTTTTTTTTTTTAGTTTATTTTGGAACAACAAACAATTACACTTATAAATTAAGTATAAAACATGGACATAGAACACATATTAGGTAAAAGCGTAATCAGCCCCGTTGTCCACAGATAGAGTAACAAAATATGTGGAAAAGATGTCGGTATAAACTAAAATTTGTGTGCTAGTGCACAAATTATAAAAGCCTAAATGGCACTCTGGTGTAATATAAATAGTTTCATCAAAATCCGTTCGGCAGCTTTCCATTCCGTTTGGTGCTTAACAAAACATTAGATTTTTTAAAAAAAAATTAAGTCTAGATCTAGAAAAACAAACATCAACCATCACAAACTCACATCCTCGATAGATTGGTGCAATGCTTTTCTGAACGAGGCAGGTGAGCCTGCGAAGAGTTCAAGTTCGGTGAAATGACAGTTGAACATTTTAGTAATTCTATACAGCGGCGCGCGCTCACCTGCATTCGTTTTACATGGAGCGTGTGCGAATATTTGCGGTTTACGGGTCTCCCGCCCGTGTAGGATATGAACGGTATGGTATTCTAATGTATATTTGGTTCATAAGTTTATTACAATCCAATTTCCCACTACAAATGTTATACAATAATAGTTGATCAAGGAGCAATCTTCTCGTTCTAAGTGTTAGCATAGAAAACTTATTAAGGAGTACTTCGTACGAGCGCTTGGAAAGGTAACAACGATAGTTCATAGATCGTAGGAATTTACGTTGCACAGATTCCAGCTGATCGTGATGTTTGGTATATAATGGATTCCAAACAGATGAAGCGTATTCTATCTGAGATCTTATCAACGCGTTATATAAAAGAATATAAGACTGAGGTCTTTTAAAAGCGAGGCTGACCCTCATTACGAAGCCATACATTTGGAAGGCTTTATTATATGATCAATGTGTACGTCGAAGTGTAGTTTACAATCCATTAGCCTAGTAACGGTATTTTTATTTTTTCAGATGTTACAATTTTGCTGTAAGTTTGTTATTTGCTTAATAATTTACTTCGAAATTATTCTTCTCGCAGGCAGAGTGAACGTAAGTTTCAGATAAAACAAATAATAAATGAATGAATGTAGGTAATATGTAATGTTTTATGTAGAAACCTTCTTAATATTGCAGAAATTAGAATATGTGGATATAGTGATTATGACAGGGTTCTTGGTCTCCAACGTCGTAATGGCTGTGCTGATGTGCACTCGATGTGAAATATACACGAAAGAAATAAAAGAAACCAAGAACCTGTGCATAGCTGTCATGTCTATTTATGTGGATGATGGTATGTACCTATTTAATTAATTTAAGCTACTATGTAGAAGTATATTTTAAAGATGTTTTGTAAGACACACATTCAGTGTGCTTACCATGAGTTTACGTTAGGTATGCTCTCTAACGACTACGAAATATGACAAATTGTACAGCGCCCCTAGCGGCTACTTTCAAGAAATAATATCTTCATAGATTTTTTTGACGCATTCGCTAGCGAGCGAGCCCACCTGCCACCTAACGTAAACTCATGGTAAGCACACAGATGCATAAATATACTCCACAAAAAATGGTAGATGCCTGTTAATTCCTATTTATCTTCTTTAAAGGTTCGGCCAAACCAACGCGATCACACGCAATCAGCCGGCGTGCAGCGATGGCGACATGAGCCCCGATTACGGTAATTTTTAACGTCTCCAATCCAGACGCGCTTCTGATTCTGCGATACGATTGGTCAAAATAGCTGACGTACGCTGTTGAACGACCAATCGTATCGCAGAATCAAGAAGCGTGTCTAGATCTATTACCGTAATCGGGGCTCAGACTTAAATGCATTGATCGCCATCGCTGCACGCCGGCTGATCGCATGTGATCGCGTTGGTTTGGCTGAACCTTTAATGATCCAAGAACAATATCCGAACCAGTGAGTTTGTCAGTTAATTATTCACGTCCATTTTGTAAGTAGAATTTGTTTTTCTTTATTATTATTGATTTATTTATTATTTTAAGGTCCCCTAAGAGCAAAATCCAAGGATATGCTGCATATTTTAGAGGCCAAGCCGCCAAAGTTCGTCGTGTATGACATATGGGAGATCGAAGCAGCGTTTATAATTCATATCTTGAGCATTGTAACGGCTGTAATAGTCACCCTTCTGCAATTAGCCTTTCTGTAGTATTATTGATTAGTAACAGACAACATTTATAAGGCGGTAGTAAACCTAAAGCTAAGCTAAGATAGTTTGGTTCTCACTTATCTGAGGTAATTTTTCATATAATTTACGAAAAATTACATCGGCTTGTTCTGCAACCGTCTTTAAATTTTGAAATTAGTACAAATTTGAGAATGTTTAGTGTCGCACTACTACTAGGCACTTCAACATAATCTAATTTGTATTTTTTCTAGTACATAACTTTGTGCATTTATTAGAGCTAAGTATTTGTTGTCTTAATTATCCATTTGTTTGTATTATTAGGTAGGTACGTATTAAAAATAATAGAACATCATTAAAGCAATTAATGCGGGTTATGACTAATACATTAACAAAGGAAGATAAGGGCCTGTTATTATCAGTTTATCACACAAATATATCTAAGTGGTGGAGGCGTGAAAAAAGCCTACACGCACCTCACTTAACGTTAAATTATCGAACCAAACACATACTTATGTTAACAAGGATAAAAATGAGTTCCGAATACCTCTCGAAAGATATTTTAGAAGAGGATTTTTTAAAAACATTTACTCCTTACCATATTTGCCAAAAAGTTTTAGGGTCATGTCGCGTCAACGCTAAAAATAGATTTGTTACAGCGCCAACGATATGGCAAAGAGGGTATACTGTATTTTGTATGACTCTCCTTATACCGTGTTACGTTAAGTTGTTCTTGATATTTACCGAGCAATATTCCGATAATGTTACCATGTTTTTTCTGATAGTTACAATGTTAACAGTACAGATTATTATATTCACTAGCAATTTGATCCACGTACGTTTCCTGACTTGCCATGAGAACATAGAGTTCTATATTAAAATGCAAGGGATCGAACGTATTATGAAAATTGACAAAGATAAAACGCTTAGCTCTCTGCAATACAAAGTTCATGTAATGTCTATACTATTTTTGTCTTTGAGTGGTTTAGGACTTGTAAGTTTGAGTTTTACAAGAGGTACTATTTCGGCAATATTACTTTGCTCTGGGATCTACTGTGAAGCTCCTTTCGCTGTAGAAATGAGTCATTGTTCTAATATAATGCTTTACTTTGCATTGCGTATCCGTTTAGTCAACGCGATCGTATCAAATCACATTTACGGAAACACTTCATCGAAACCTTTAATTCCTGATATGTTCACAAATCACTATATGAAAAATGTGGCTGCTAAAATACATGATTTTAAAACTAGTGAAACCGATATTTATTTACGAGAAATAATACGCGGTTTTAATATGTATAAGGATCTCTACAAGTTTCAAGTAAGTTTAATTTCAATTTCTTATTAATTTATGAGTTTATAAAAAACAATGTGACGGACAATTAATTGATGCCATGACATTTCAGATTCTCTTACTATGTGTAAAGATATTTATTTATGCGCTAATAACATTTGAATACACTCTTCTATCAGTGAAGTACAATGTAAGTAAAATCCTTACTTAAAAATGTTAAACGGATTAAAAAATGTCATCCTTAAAAATTAATATTAACCCTTTTTCAGATCTATGACGTGGTTCATGTAGCTGCATTTTCTTCAATAATAACCGTGGATTTATTAACAGTCATGTTTCTTTGCCTGCGATGCGAGATTTTCATTAGATCAGTCAAAGAAACCAAACTATTAACGATCTCGGTTATGTCCATTTACCTCGATGGTTAGTACCTAAAGTAACATAAAAATAACTTATGAAGAAGATATGGGTCTAAAATAAAAATATGTAATTTTTTGTACAATAAAAACACACAAACTTGTATGATTGCTAAAATTATAAAATAATATTGTATTTTTCCACGATTAGGATAAGCGCGTCTAATTCAATATATTTATTAGCAAAAATCCTTTAAGCTTGCTCTTGTTTTGTGAAAAAAAGTAAGCAGCGTAATGTTAGCACTGCTGTTATGTTGAAGTAACTAAATGTTCTAAGTGTTTCCATATGAAAAGTATGAGCTTTATATTTTTTATTTTTGTATTTTTCAGGACCACTCAGAAAGAAGGCTAAATGTATGTATGACATTATAGAAGAAATTCCGCCAGATTTATCAATATACGATATGTGGAACCTGGACGCACGTATTGTGTTTGCATTATTTTACACAATCACGAATTTTATCGTCACATTACTTCAGTTTGCTTTTTTGTAATATTTTTTTAATAAAATGAAGAAATCATTAAGAGTAAATTAGAAAAGGTAGATCTAAATAAAATAGCGTTTAAGAACTTTCAAATTTTATGTAGAAAAAATGCATTCATTGTATAAAATTATTTCAATTGAAAAAGTACAGTAATAACTCATTCATGAAATAAAAATATTTTTTTTCGTATAAAAATACATAATACTACTTCAAAAATAAGTAAATATAAAACGCCATACATAAAATAGTCTAGGTTTAGTCAAAGGATTATAGCAGTTTCTTGAGACAACAATAAATTATAATAGAATACTCAGTTAAAATCGAGTTATTAAAGAAGTTACTTGATAAAAATAAACTTTTCTGGAGGTCATGTATTATGTCAACTAATACTCTATTACAATACAATATTGTTTGTATGTACATAATAACATTTTTGATATGATAATAATCCTGTGACAGGCACTAGTGACATCACTATTATTATCTAGACTTAATTTTCTATATTCTTTACTTATTTCTACATTTATTCACACAGTTTTGGACGGAATAGCTTATTCACATAAAGTAGTTAAAGGTTTAGCTACTACAATTTTAGCATTAAAAGCAAGCTTAGGTATTTATGGTGGTTATAAAATTTCACTAGTATAAAAACATTTACATTCATGTCGCTATCTTGGGCTTAATATAACTCAAAGTTATATCTGTTGATATTTTAGATTGTTTTAATGTAAAATTAAGGCAGATTGTTTTGTACTGATTTTCAAGATAATAATTATGAAATGTATAAAATGAACATACCTATGAGATTCGCAACGTCATGCCATCAGCAACAATGAATGGTTGTCAGAATATGTGTATTTTGAAGAATGACAGCAATAAGGTCGATGATATTAGTAACGCCATTGATATGGGCACGACTGGAGCGCTGTTACACCGGTGATCGAGGAAGCAGAAACACCATGTTGTTTCGTCGTACCAATCTCTGAAAATTAATGATAAAAATATTTTCATAATGCACTGGTATTTTTGTATAATATGTAAAATCAATTATTATGGACAACATTTGGTTGCATTTATAAACTAGAATAACAGTACATAAGTACTCACTCACTGTTACATAATAATATTTTGAAATCAATAGTTACAGTACAGTCATCATTAATTGAATCCAACTGGATTAACTCAAATGAAAATTAATTGAATATTATAAAACTCACTTTAGTTTAGATAGTTTCTTACCTCTTTATATCCAACTCCTTTATGGAGTTATTGACATAGTGCGCCAAATTGACATCTTTTGCAGCTGGTCTGCATCCTTCATAGGTGTCCGCTGGTATATCAGTCCGGAACGCTTTGAAATTGCTTAAGCAATCCCTTGTTATCACCCTTTGCGCTGTAATATAACAGTTAAATATCAATATAATAATACGGCAGTCAGAAATCATTGATTTCTATGTAAGGTAGTCAAGTCTAATTATTAATTAACACCTTTGAAGTGCTTTATTCTGACTATTATTGACGCAATGAATTGCTTCTTTGTCAGTTTTTGTTATTTTTAATTATTTTTTTTTTTCTCCCAACAACAATGTACTTTTATAAAAAGGGAAACCTTTTATTGGCTATACTATCAGTCTAAATCTTATCACTAACATTTTCAATGTATCGCTCTGTTGGTTTCTATAAAATAAATCATCATCATCATCATCAACAGCCCTTTACAGTCCACTGCTGGACTATGAGCCTCCTCCACTATAGTGGAGGGTTTTGCCATAATCTCCACGCTAGGCAGGCGGGTTGGAGATCGCAGTTTAAAAGATTGATGTTTTTCAGAGAGCGCTGCTGCCCATTCTCTGTTTGATGTGTAGTCCCTAAGTCGCCTCTTACGACACCCGCGGGAAGAGTAGGGGTTGGTGACAAATGTATTCTACTCTGCCGTCACCACACGGCTTAAAATAAATAAATAAATAAAATAAATAAATAATAAAAGTAAATATCTTGTTGTTTTTATTTTGTGAGAATGAAGTAGCCTCACCCATTTTACAACTAGGCCTACAAATAAAAGCCCCAGTTCACGTGACCTCATTTTATTTATACAAGTCCTAAAAATAATTTTCCAGTTTACGCTTATTAATTTTATTGGACCGAGATTAATTTTAGGGACTTCATTGGCAAGTCAAGTCCTTAAGTGAAGTTTTAAAAACTATTAAATCAGATTAACATTAAAAAACCACCAAAATAAATTTACTGCATAGAATACCAGTAGAATTGTAATAAGAGAAAGATACCAACCTCCTTTAACTTCAATGAGCTTGATACAAATGTCGTCTTGGTCCGGACATGGGTTGCCGAGGTATCCCACTCCGCGCCAGTTAAAGGGCTCTGTGCAGCCCGGTGTAGCTGCTGTACACTGGTAACACCATATAGCTAGACCTGGAAATGTAAAGAATAGGCTAGTTGCCTAAAAAAATTTTTTTAGTCTGTAATGTTTAATATCAAAAAATATTGGACACATATCGATACCTCTGGGCTCAAAGGTCGTAAAGGACAAAGTACGACTTTTCAGGAGAAGCAAAAAACGATTTTTTATTTTTTATTTCGACAATAACTTTTTTGTTTTTTGAGCTATTAAAATATGACTTAAGAAGAAAGTGCTTAGAATTCACAGCATTTTCCGAGGAAGTATTGAAAAACTGGACTAGGGCAGTATTTACTGAGATAGATTTCCTTTACGCCCTCAAAATTACAATAAAAAGACCTTTACGCCCCTCAAATATTCGTCCTAGGCAAGTTACTCAGGGCGTAAGTCTATTTTTATTTTACAAAACTACAAAATTAAGGTAATAAAGGACAATTTACAGAGTTTTATAGGTTTTCATAGGTCGTAACGGAACACCCAGGTAAGGTATTATGCAAGGGCAAATTGATAATTTAGCTTAAATATTTAATGTTTTATGGTATTTGATAAGTAATATACCATTTCTTCACATATTTTTAATGAATTATAGTATTTTAAATGAAATAAAATGATTTTGCGTGGCTTCAAAATTTAATGCACACAATTTACGTAACTATTATTTAAGCAAGCAGAAGTTTTGATATCTTCGAAGTAGAAGATACCATTTCCGATAGCAGAGCGATTTTAGAAAATAAATATTATGACGTTTTTAAATAAAACTTCATAATCATGCCTACTTTACACAAAAAGCCGAAACCAATTTAATTTTATTTATTTATTTAATCATTATTATTGTTTCGAAAAACTACAAATGGCGGACTTAATTCTATAGGGCAGTCTGTCAACCAGTTTACCTTATGATACTGCAGATAGGATAGAATTATTAAGGACAAACGAAAACCAAACTATGATTATTCTAAATTATAAATAGATTAAAACATTGTTATTCATAAAAGCTTGAAATTATGTCATTGAACTTGGTACAAAAGTAGAAATATTAGGTAAGTAAGATTACAAGTAGGAAGTTTTTCATTCCAGTTAAGTACATCCACTTACTTAATAACTCTTACATAATACAGTTTTTAAAAGCCAATTATTTTTAATATAAAAATATAACTTCGAAAAAAGTGCATTCACGCTTTTTAGTACATTAAGTCTCAACTGACACTATAGTACATATTTTCTCATGTTAAGCGTAAATATTTTTCCTACTAGTTATACTTTATTAGCTGACCCAAATAACTTTAAAATCTATACTTATTTATTTATAATTGTTACAGTCAAAACTCAAAAGAACGTTAGTCAAAATTACTAGGAAATCATTAAAAACAATTGTAAAGCGTAGCATTTGTGTGATTTATGCATACAAAACATACATACACTCGAAAAAACATAACCCTCCTTCTGCAGTCGTGTAATAATGACATCTTATGGTACTACAGTAAGGTGACTTCTTTTTCTCATCTAGCTTTTTCATTTTTCAAATTTGTATGATCACTATCCTAACTTAATTAGGTAATACGTTATTTTATAGCATGTTTTCATTGTGTTAAATCATCTTTTAATTATCTTTTACCTGACAAATACCTAATTTCGTCAAATATGAGAAATAATAAAAAGCATCATTACTTTACCCGATGTGGATAGATGTCATAATTTTTTAATGTACAAATCACATAATCGTTACACTCTAAAATAGTTTTATTACATATTTTTAATGATTTTTTTGTTCTTTCGTTTGTTCTAAACGCACATACTTAAATACAACAAGAAACGTCTATAAAATTTACCTGCTCAGTTGTTTTAATATCCTCTCTTTGTAGATTTTTAAAATATTTGTTTAGATAATCTAAGGGCGTAAAGGACAAATTATTTAGACTTTGGTATGAAAATTTGGGTTGTATAGGACAATAGATTATACTACATGTACATTATACGCCCAAAAATTTGTGTTTACTTGTTCTTTACTACCATGCTAACTGTACTAAAAAATCAAATGGTATTTACATCCCAATTTTCACGATGAATTCTGTTTAGCTTATCAAATATGATGGGTCGTAAAGGCACTTTTTTTGAGAATTTCGACAAACTAAATATACAGATCGATAGAGAATTAAATTCTGAGTATAACTGTATAAAAAACTCATTTTCGGTATTTTGTCCTTTACGACCTTTGAGCCCAGAGGTATCGATATATTTTTATTTGTCAATCTAACAAATAATTACATAGTTATGGTGCGTTGAAGTTGCGCACGACGTCACAACGTGCGGCATTTTTAAGCAAGCGTTGACGTCACGGGCCTCTTCTTATGAACTTTGGGGCGCTTTATCCCTTTAAATTTTCATTAGTTTGAAAAAGTGAAAAATACGTGTAGAGTATTTTTTTATAAGTTAACTGACGGACTAATTAAAACTCTTGCTTTTTGACCCAGGCAACATCCCCATTTGATGAAGACTTTAAAAGTAGAAATGTACAGGCTAGCATTCACTCCATCAAAAGGAGCAATAGATTCAGATAGCCTTAGAAATGTTTACAGACATGTGGTTATTATTATGGTAAGTAAGTAAGCATTTGACACTATCTGGAAGTGTTTCTACTCTTTCTTGTAAACATAACCCTATAGTTCCAAACATTGCTCGGAAAAACCCAATTAGGTTGGATAATTTAATATAAAATTAATCTCATGGTTACGTCATTTAACATTATAGAAATACAACAGACGATTGAGTCTTTTGTACTCAAAAGACCAATAAACTATTGTATGAATAAATACACAGTTGAGCCACACCCGATTCAATAGCATTATGACTAAAAACTTACTTTCGTTCAGGATCGATACAAATAGCACAGTAAAAATAGTTAACTTCATAGTTATAATTCCACTATTAACTTTTAATAACAGAATATTATTTATTTGGTTTTTATAACTATATATTTTCTTTCTTCAACCGGGACTTTAGCAAGAAACACACAACAACAAATTCATAACTGTCAAAACTGTCAGTGTAGAGATGAGACGTATTTACTAGAACAGATCCACACACTAGGTATTTTACAGTACTAAGTGGCACCTATTCCAATTTTTAAAATACTTGATCCACCTAGTATTTTTTAAATTACACGATTTCCGACCCTACAATCAAAGTAATAGAGGTTATTATTGCATAATCCGTAGTCGTGTATTACGCGCACCGCGTATTTCTCGCTAAGTATTTTTTTAAATTACACGATTTCCGACCCTACCATCAAAGTAATAGAGGTTATTATTGCATAATCCGTAGTCGTGTATTACGCGCACCGCGTATTTCTCGCTAAGCTTATGTGCGAACGTAGAGATTCACTCCGTCTCTGTCTGACAAACAAATTTGAGCGCAGGCAGGTGTGAGATAGGAATAGGTGTTTGATGTATTACGTAATTTAAACTCTATTTGTACACAGGTAAGGTTTTGAATATTTTAATTTTTGTTCTCTCTCATCCAGCTCACTCCGCCGGTAAAAAACCAGTTTTTATTCTTCCGACAGGTTTGTTTTGGTTTGTTGTCACGCGTCCGTGATAATTGCGTAAATAAAAAATAGAAAAAATTATGTAAATATTTTTATGAAATTGATATCTTTTAAATACGCCAACTTTTAAGTTGACAGTCCTAAGCCTGTTGAAGTATGAAGGGAGGATATCAATCAATCAACAACCAGCAAAAACATTATTATTCAATTTCAAATTGCATTATTTATACTACGAGTGGATCTTTTCAAAGAAAATTGTATTTTAAAGTCATAATACGTGGATTAGTCCGCACTAGTCGCGTCAAGTATGGTAAATTACTACGTACTAAGTGGAACAGGTATTTGGATCACGTATTAATAAATACTTGGACTAGGTGCACCTAGTATCAAATTTACCTAGTATAACCCATCTCTAATGACATCAACTACAAACAAAGAGTGACATGACGTGAATCATGTAAAAAATAAGCGCCATCTATTATACCTTAACAAAAACTAAGCTTTATAACAATCTTAGAGATGTCGCTACTATCTCTTTGATAACTTGATATGCATCATCTAGTTTTGAAGAGATTTATTTATTTTATTTTATTTTATTTTATTCGGAAAACCAACAGCAATACAATACAAATAATGGGACCTTAAATGATTAAGATCAATCAACTAACTTTAGATAGCAATTTTTAAGTAAAATCACCTTAAGTTCATCAGTGCTATTCTAACTTCAAAATATCGACTAAGATAAGTTTAACCTTATAATCGGTTTGACTTATAAAATTACGGACACAGAAAAATATTATTTTTTCTATAGGTAAGCAAAGCAACTAATTAATAGAATTTAACATCTATGCAAAACACACTATAAGTAGTGGATTAACTTTTTTGCAAAAAAAAAGTAGTATGCATTGATGAAGTTCTTATTAATAAATATAGGTGGCGTCGCAATTGCAAAAGATCTCGCACTCTTTGCTATTATTAACTGTCAAATCGTAAGATTTCAACCGCTGGACTTCTTGGCGGGAAAAGTGAGTCTCGCGGCGCCTGGCGGCGCTAGAGATGGGTTTCCACCCGGGTAAAAACCCACATGAGGGTAAAAACCCAATAAAAACCCGTTTCATTCCACCCGTGGGTGTTTACACCGGGTGAAAACAAATAATTTTATAATTATTTCAATTGGCATCTTTTCTTTATTTTATTGAATTTTTCTCATTTATGTTTATTGATTAATAAGTAATAAGTCAAATTTAACACTAATATGCATTTATATCGTGGCAAAATCGTAAAATTGATCACTAATTTGATCGTGATTTGATTGTGATCAATAATTTTATAAAATGGTGTTATTTCAAGAATCGTTGAACCGATTTAGAAGAAATTTAGTAGGAACACAATAATTTGTGATCATGGCAAGTACATGGAGGGGGGGGATGCCAAAAATGCCAAACTTTCTTTTTGATGACATTACGGTATAAAGTTACAAATAACAACACCAACTACAAAGTACTTCTGCTTAAAAACTTGAAATCTTACCGCCCTTCCGCCACTGTAACGCATTGTAACGTTTTTCAAGACCTCTTCTCCCCCCAGATTGCATTACGTAACACTAGAACGCCCCCTTAGCAACAAATACCACTTCTCACTTTAAAAAAACGCTATTTTTGTTTTCACCCACCAGAATGGGTGATAATGGGTAACAACCGGGTTTTTACCCAAATCACCCAGTTTTAACCCAATCGGGTGAAATGGGTTTTTACCCACTACCCATCTCTAGGCGGCGCCGCCCAATCTCATGATCCCATGATTTTACTGAGCAAATCATCATGCTGTTTTCATTTTGATCATGAAAAAGATTCGCAATTTTGCTTTTGCGTAAAAGGCGCAACTAAAGAAAAAGCTTTAATATGATGGAAAGAGTAAAAATATTTATTTCCGGTCCTATTGCTATTGCAAGATACAAAATATTTGATTGTTTAGAATACTACAAAACTTTGTTTATTATTACAAAACTTTCACATATCGTCTTGCGGTTCAGGAGGTGGATCTTCAGGTGGATATATCGATGCCAACAGCAATTGTAAATCTTCTTTATTCAAGTCAATACACATAGTACCCACGACGTCTTCGACACCTATGGTACCATCATTACTCATATCTACTTCCTTAATAAGATTATCCAATTGTTTCTGTGGCATTTTATGACCTTTAGTAGAAAGAAGCTCTTTCAATGCTTCTCTGTCCATACTACCAGTTTTATCTGGATCAAGGACTTGCAGCGCAGATCTTAATTCGTCTTCTATGGGAAAGTCTCTCTGGCGAATCGTCACCATCTTAACAAACTGGTCGAACGTGATGTGTCCTTGAGGATGAGGTGGTCTCACACAGTATGCTATCAATTCCTGCAGTTGCTCTGGAGTCACTGTCATGAGAATAAGAGCTTTCAACATATAAATCAGTTCTTTCTCAGTAATGTAGTTGTCGATATCAGTATACACAGGTGTATAGTTCTGGTACAGTTCCCAGAGTTGCTCCACTTCAGCCAACTGATCTGGTCGCAGCTCGAATGGTTCTTTGAGGGCTTCTTTTGAATCACTGAAGTTAAACGGCGCAGTGGGGTCTGGAGGAGGTTCTTCGACGTAACCCTCTTCTTCTTCGACTACTTCTTCGTCAGGGGGCTTTTGTTCTTCCTTCTTCTGTTCGCCCTCAACTTCCTCGCCTTCCATGTGTTCTCCTTCCATTTCCTCGCCCATCAATTCTTCCCCTTCCCCCATGACTCTTTCTTTGTGTTCGCCCTCAACATGTTCACCTTCAACCGTTTCTCCTTCCACATGTTCACCTTCCAATTGCTCTCCTTCTGCTTCCTCGCCGCCTATTTCTTTTACACCCTCTTCTCCCTCAACCTTTTCCTGTTCACCAGTTGTCTCTGGTACCTCAGATGGTGTCTCTGTACCTTCTGCTGGTGTCTCTTCCATTTTGAGATTATTTTACAAAAAAAACACGTCAATTTTGTATTGTTATTTAACCACAGGACTCCTTAATTCTAATATTTATACAATGAGTTCGTCACCGCATCTAGGTTTGCTGAAGTTGGTCCGAAGTATTGTTATGAGGTTACCAGTTATCCTGTCATACAGATTTAGGCTCCCAAGAGATATTGTATCAAGTATGTCTATAAATTCCCCTAATAACTCGTCTCTAACATTATCAATAAAAGTAAACATTTGTAGAAAACTAAAGATATTCCAAAATTTTATTCTTTTCAGAGAATCATGACGATCACAACAGCATTTTTATGCATGACTTGTGATGACACTGCCAAATTTTTGATTGACATGATGATAATTTTTATTTAATTTTAAAAACCTAGCTATCCTTAATGAAAACAAAATAAATCCTTATTAAAAAAGTGAATCTCCCAAAAAAATTAGATCATGAAAAAAGATCATGACGATGATGAATTTAATTAAAATGAAAATAATTTATTTGCAGAATGTGGTACATTACATGTTACATAAACAATAATAACAATAATGTTATCGTCAGTCGTTAGAGCCGAGCTCTCTCTCTACCTGACAACCTAAGTACGTCATACAGATAGAGAAAATCAAAATGTTAAGAATACTTAACATTAATTTATTTGCTAAAATAATAGGTAATTAAGATAAAATACCCAGTTACTCATTTCTTAACAAGCTCATTATTATTTTTTGTACATAATACATTTAGAACTATTGTTTATGTAGAGCTATTTAAGGTAAGAGTAGATACTAAGTGGGAACATAACGTCTATCTCCAGTTTATTCACCTGGTTCTATGCGAAGTAATAATATGGCCGGTGTCTTTAGACCCCATTTCTAGTGAAGAAAGAGTAATTTCTATGGGTCTAGTAAAGCTGGTTTATTGTTACAAAGTTAAAGCATCCCACGGCCAATGCTTTCATCAGGCGCATCTAGATGGTCACGTGCGGGAGAAAGAGGCTGTATGGTGAGCGGCCTGTGCCCGCGTGGGCCAGCCGGCAGAATACGAAACGCGCGCCGCAGCTGCGCAGGCGTACTAGCTGAAAAGTTTTTGGCGCGAAATTGTACGTAACGCGCAAAATTAACGCAGAATAGTTTTTGCGGTTATTTTATCAAAAACTTTATTGTGTTGTGATAAATCGACATCATTAGCGCTGCCGCCAATATTTATACAATTAAATAACGCAAAATGGTAAGTCCGTGTTCTTGTTTTCTTGCATTTGTGTCATTAAAAAAATTATTAGAAAAGCTCTATTCATACTTAAAATTACTGTAGAAAATTACTATAGAATTTATTGTAATAATTCATAAAGTAGCTGGTGCAATAAGAACTTATTTAAATTTCTTAACAAATGGGGATGAAAATTATCCGCATCTTTAAAATTAATCATCAAAATTAATTTTGTTGTCCTACCTAATGTTAAAAGTTACTGAAAATTCAATACTTATTAATATTTTTATATTAGGTGGTTATTAAGAGTAGTTTTACTGACTTTTTATTTACTACGCAAGTCTCGCATTACAATCATATTAACATCAAAGTAAATAAAATTAAATCATATCATTATCCAATGTTCTTTCTCATTCAATTTATAACTTACTCATAGCCATATTTATTGGTAAATTCTTTACAGTTTATAACGAGCCAATAAAAAAATACAGGGCTACTACATCGTGAGTGGCTAAGTACTACATAAAGAAATTTTTATTTTAGCATTGTATTACCTAAGTATTACTAATGTTAAGTTCTGTCGAGGTTCTCTAGCACCACACAACAATAATCTGTCCCAATACCTATATTGGGACTATCTATACCCTAGACTGGAGATATGTATGTATATAGCTTACCTTGGGTTCCATCCAGGGATGTTATGTAACCGAAACTTTCGGATATCCGAAATAAAAAAAGGCATGTATTTAAATGATCTTTTTAAAAAAGCAAAAACGGCAAATAAAAAAATCTAAATGGTCATCTATTTTAATGATTGATCCTCTTTCTTTGAGACATAAAATAAATGAAATCGATCGATATATTAACCTCTTTTGAACTACGCAAAAAAAAATTGAGATGTAAAAATTATATCTGATCGTTACTTGTTGGTCCTCAAAAATAAAATAAATGAGCACCAAATATTCAATATTGTGATACTTTTTTAAATAATTCGATTTGTATAAATTATTTTTTGTCTATATCAAATAATCTTTAAAATAATTATGTTATGGTACTTATTTTTATTAAGTTGTAGTCAAAGGATGGAAACTATTTAAAGGCAATTGATGTTCAAAAATTTTTTTTTATTAAAAAAGCATACTTAACACGTTCACACTGCGTTATCGGGTCGAATTGACCTTAGGTGCTGGATGCGTTGGTGCGGGATGGATATATTCGGTCTTTTCAGTAGTACGAAAGATAAATATTGTTTTGCAATTGTTTCGTCAAACACAGTAAATATTTGGAAAAAAAAACTTATCAGGTCCTTACGACCCGATGTCGCACTAAAAGTAAACAAATATCGTTTAGTGCTTTTATCGTGTCTAATCGACCCGTTGACAGATGACTTTATGGTCACTGATCACGGTCGAGATCGGTATACTAAGAGAAAATCAACCTTGCGATTTGAAAAAAATAAAGAGGTAAAAATTATGATGTCGGGTTCAGGGATGTCAGAAGTAAGAAATTATTTTACATAGCGCCTCTAGTCCCAAACTAAGCAAAGCTTGTAATTTAAACAAACATGGCAATGTACCATTCTGCTTGCTTATTGGCCGCTAAGCCCTTGGCCAACTCAGTAACCAATGACGGACGATTGTCACTCAACCACAAAGTACCGCGTAAATTAAAAGATATTTTTTAATTAAAAATATTAACCAATAATATTTTTTGTTAGATCAAATATATTTTAAAGTTAAGTTATACATAGATCGAAATGTATTTATTAGGTGATCAATATTAAAAGGCAAACTTGATATAAAAATCATCAAATTAACAAAATTAAAGATCAATAACTAAAAAAGAGGATCAAATATTATTTTTGTTTACCAAATATTAAAAGAGTATGTTAAACATAAATATTATGTTACCTTTAATGAAGATCATTCATAATTTATCCGTAGATCAACTAATATAGACCCAATAATTAATATAAAGATAAAATATAATAAAAAACATCATTTATAAAAGTGCACATACAAAAAAGATCAATTAGTTTTTAGAGGATCAAATAATATTGTCCCATAAAAAAATATCTGAAACCGTAACCGATACAAAAAATTCGGACAGTTTCGGATGTAGGCAGTTTAAATTATTTTTATGTAAAGGCCTGATTTACCTTTTAATGCCATCTAGTATTAATTTTTATTTTCTTATTAATTTTTATTCGATGTAAAGTGTGCGGCCATGAATGAACCGTGTTGGACAACTATTGCAAATTGCATTCTAAAGCACAGATATCCGTAACCGTAACGGAAACTTTCGGATATCCGAAATAAAACAATATCCGTAACCGTAACCGAAACCGGTATAATATTATTCCTATATCCGTAACCGTATCCATAACTGAAACTACATATCCATAACATCCCTAGTTCCATCCAGGGTGATCACCCACTTAACCGGACGGTATAAGTCCAAAAAAATAGGTGTATAAGTCCAAAATAACCAATTTTTCAGTTGAGTACCTATTGAACTTCATGTCAGAAAGACCTTAAGTCTATCGATAAAAGTGTCTCACCAAAATTATTTATGGCCTCGAACTAATCTTATATCGAAATAAAACAGCAGGAACTTAAGTAATAAAAGTCAGCAAAAAGGTGTGAGATTGTGAGTTATGTCATGAAGTAGCTAAAAAAACTTTAATAGAAGTATTTGAAATTAAAGTTGATTTTTAATTAAAACACCCATTACGACATACACATAATTAACTTATCACAAAAACAAGCAATAAAAAATAAATTTGGATAGTGGAATAAAAAGTTATGGTATTGAGGTTTTATAAAATGTAAGTATTTAAGAGCGTTGTCACATTTTTCATGCAGAAATCGAGAATTTGGCAGATTTCGAAATGATTTTAGTCATATAATTTATTGTTATAGCTTCTTTTGACTTATATCATCGTAATTATTATACGTTTTTACGGAATGTCTATTGACAAAATCTCGTTCAAATTGGATTTTTGTCTACGAAAACAGCGAATTTCGAAAGCCCGATTTCCAGGTAACTCGCGAAGGCACAACTTTGAACTAATATTACAACAAATTTATTTCTAAGTAAGAAGATAGAATGTATTCATTAGAATAAGCATACCCTAAAGAAGAAAGTGTATTGAGAAAATTTTGATGTTTAATTCATTAAAATGCATTTTTATCATGTCTAAGATAGTCAAAATTCGAGAAAATTACTGCAAGAAAACAGGTCACATCTCATAATCTAAAAGTCACTTGGCAACATAAACTACTTTATACTTAAGAAGAAACATAGTAGAATAAAAACAGAGTGAATACAGCAGCAACAGAAGAAAGCTCAAATTCAGAAGACGAAGTATTCATATCAGTGTTATGTAGCGGAGAAAAAAAAGACTGGTCTGAAAGTATACAAGTTGGTAATGTAAAATTCACTGCAAAATTAGACACCGGAGCAGAATGCAATGTATTGCCCAAGCACCTAATGGAAAAAACTGAAGCAAGTTTAAAAGCAAGTAAGACAAAAAATTTGATAAGCTATACAAATGACAAAATGGCTGTTTTAGGTGAAGCAGAGCTACTATGCAAAATAAAAAATGAAGAAACCAATATAACATTCAAAGTAGTTGAGGAGAGGGTTACACCGATTCTGGGACTCGAAACCTGCAAGAAATTAAGACTCATTGCTCGAGTAAAGTCACTGAAAGAGAGCACCAAAGACATATTTAACGGCCTAGGATGCTATAAGAACTACGAATATGATATAGACTTAATCGAAAATCCAAAGTTTGAAATAAAACCATCTAGAAGAATACCACATGCAATAAGAAAAGAAGTCAAGCATGAACTAGATAGAATGGTAAAGATGGATGTAATAAAACCAGAGACTGAGCCAACTCCTGCAGTGAGCCCAATGGTAGTGGTAAGGCAGAAGGACAAAATTAGAATATGTATTGACCCTTCTGATGTGAATAAAAATATTCTCCGACGTCATTACCCACTCACAACGATAGAAGAAATATCAGCAGACATAAAAGGCTCAAAGTATTTTGCATTACTTGACTGTACCAAAGGGTTCTGGCAGATTAGATTAACAGAGAGGAC